CAGACAAACCGGATGTGACTTCCGGTTTGCTCATAGGGCCGGTTTTAGCCCTCCCAAACCTTCAGGGGCATTCGGGAGGCTTCATTGAAGGCTTCAGAGAGCAAAAAATGACCCTATGAGCAAACCGGAAGTCACATCCGGTTTGTCTGTAGGACCGGTTTTTCATGTTCTGGAGGCTTCAGGGAAGCTCCTGAAGCCTCCGGAGGGCCTCCGGGAGGGGGGAGGCTGTTTTCACCCTCCCCAGACTCCTATAAAGCCTCTGGAGCTTGGGGAAGGTGAAAAAAGCACCCCCAAAATGGGGGGGCATTGGTCGTGCGTACATGCGCACTGGGGTCGTGCACATAGCATTATGGGTGTGGCATGCCCGCTCATGACCCCCTTGCACTCTCCCCGCTTTTGGCACGTGAGCCAAAAAAGGTTTGCCATTGCTGCCCTAGAGAAAACTACAAAAAGGAAAATGGCCACAGTTCAGCCAACTTCAGGGTGGAAACAATCTGTCAAACAGGAGACTGTCCTCTGTTAATAAAGGACTATCTATAACACAAGCTACATGGTCATTATAATTCAAGGGTAAACTTAAGAACAGATGTCTGACATCTCACACATGAAAGAGCCCATGGAGCAGAAGCTTGCCCATGTTCACAAGGTTACCACTTGTAGCAGAACCTCCCCTTACGACTAAAAGACAAGTTGCCAAGAAAAAAAAAGGGGAAGAACACTATCTTTTTTTTCAAAATGAGTTTTTAAAGCCAAGTGGAAATTCTTCAGTAAAACAAGGACAAGGCATCTCATATTATTGGACAGATTATTCATATTGAAGGCAGGCTAGTACTTAATCAAATATTTTGCACTGCTGCTACTGTCATGGATAAAGTTTTGGTTGGGTTTTGAACCATTTTCTGATGTCTTTGTTTTTTTAAAAAAATTCTACACAGCCTGAGATCCAGAAATTAAATGGCTGATCTGAATATGGATATGAAGTAGTGGGAAAAAATCCAGTTGCTTAATTTCTACATGTCAGGTGGTTCTTAAAAGCATTGAAGCAGAACTAGTGAAGAATTTGGCAGTCCCAACAGCATCAGGGATTCTTAATTATCTCTGCTCTCATTTGGGAGGAAAATAAGCATGTTAACAATAATATAACAAGGTTGTTTTCCCTGGTGTATTGAGTTCAGTTGTCTAGAGAAAGACATTTTAAATTATTCAGGAAGATTTAACTGAATAACTTCATTTTGTTCACCTGTACATTTCATTTTTCTGTCATAGGGGATTGGGTCAGCTCTTTTCTTTGTAACATAAAAGAAATCTGCAAAAATATATGCATTCTGAATGCGCTTTCTCCTAATAATATTCATTTTTAAATGCATTTCACCTAATGTATGCACTTTTGCAAGCAATTTTCTCCAATATAGTATATCTTTAATGTATTTTTCCATAATAGGATACTATAAGAGTTTTTTTTTAGGGGTGGAAGTTTTGGACAATGGGGAAATTTGCATGAAAATGCAAAGTAGTTTTTAACATTCCTAGCTCAAATGGCCATGCTTCTGACATTTTTTTGTGCCTTAACAGCCTCATTGTAGATATGTAGAACTTTATAGCTATAGTATTACTTTTCTTAGCCAATCTCTGCACAAGGATATTGGCCTTTTTATATTTTGCCTCTTATAATAGAAAATTTGCTAAGAATTAAAACTCCTCACAAAGGTCATGCAATTAATAACCTGAAATTTAAGTGATAGCCATTGTGGACCTGAACCTTGATTCCCAAAATACTTAATTCAGAGCTAGTATGGTATTGTGGCTAATTGGTTGAACTAGGATCAGGAAGACTTTAGTTCCATCATGAACAGAAATCTGCTCAGTGCTTATGGCCCTGTTACTTTCCTTCAGCCCAGCCTACTTCATAGGATTGCTAGGTAGGAATATAATGATGGGAGATGACTTGTAAAATGCCTTGAACTCTTGGAGAAAAGGATGGGTATAAATCTAACCAAATAACAGAAGCAAAAAATATAAATAAATATTAGGAATCTTATGCCTTGATTGGCAAAATCCAGATAGCACCTAGATGGCAGCAGAAGAGTAGAGATTTTTGCCTCCCAGATATGGGAGCTGAAAGAATTTTGTCTCTTAATCCAGAACCATTGGGGCATGCTGCGTTTTACTGTTTGGTGGCAGGCCTATGTTTGATGCTAGGGAAAATATGCATTACATTACAGTGTGTCTGTAGGTCCCCAATTGTTTCTCTTGTCCTCTAACCTCCTGCTGCTTTGTAAATGAAAATTTGCTTTAAAGAAGTTCAGAAGAATGAAATGACAGCAATAAATTTGATGAGTAACTTAGCTTTGTAGGGGGCGTACATATAAATATTATACAGGATGAATTTGTTCTCTGTCCTTTGCTTTCATCTCAAGGTCTTTCTGGCATTAGCATGAACGAAATAATAAAAAAACCAATAGGCTTGGTTTCTCAGCCAACATGATAAAGGAATCTATGGGTAAATGTATTAAGTAATGAAAGTTAATGCCGTTTGTAATGTTCTCCGAAGGTGTTTTGCAAGAAATAATTCCCATAGCTGTCAAAATATTTATTGAATAACAAGACTAAGGTTACAGCACAAATCCTGGAAATCCTGGAAATAACTTTAGTTGGGTGGTCATGTTAATCTATTATATCAAAAATAAGAATCTTGTGATATATTAAAGACAAACTCTTAGCACATAAATATTTGAGTTCCATTTTCCATTTCATCAAGTATATTGATTGGTCTCCTCAGAAGTATACCTAATACTTCCTTCCTTTCCTCAGCTCTCACAATTTTAAATGTAGCCCACTATAAACCTTAAGGACTAGACTTTTTTTTGTACTTTTCTGCTGGTCCTGACAAACCAACTGGGAATCAGTTCAATTCTTAGCACTTTGACTATGGGAACAAGGTGGATTTCTTATATGTACTTATCAATCATTTTCCTTTTAACATTCCAAGGATTGAGGCAGAGGTTTTAATCTCTGGACAATAAGTGAATAGGAATCAGAGTAGCACAAGAACAGGTAGTCCTTAACTTATGACCACAATTGAGCCCAACATTTCTATTGCTAAATGAGACATTTGTTAAAGTGAGTTTTGCCCTATTTTATGCTCTTTCTTGCCACAGTTGTTAAGTGAATCACTGCAATTGTTAAGTTAGTAACCCAGATGTTAAGTAAATCTGGCTTCCCCATTGACTTTTGCTTGTCAGAAGGTTGCAAAATGTAATCACATGACCCTGGGACATTGCAATCATCATAAATATGAGTCAGTTGCCAAGCATCTGAATTTTGATCATGTGACCATGGGGATGCTGCAGTGGTGGGATTCAAATAATTTAACAACCGGTTGTCTGCCCTAATGACCATCTGGGTATGTGGGGCTCAGTGGTCATGTGACTGAGTGGGCATGGCCAACTCAAGGTCACTCAGGTCGATGGACACTTCGCCTTAGCTGTTACAATGTAATAAAGGTTAACCGGAGAGGCAGTTTCTGTAAGCAGGTCAATAAAGATTAGGCTAGAAACAACACCAGAATGGTTCCTTCCTGCCTTCCTTACAGGATTAGCATTGTAAAGTGGAAAAAAACAAAAGAAGATTTCTTCCAACGATCAGTTCTCTGAACTACTTAGAAAGTTACCAAGCGGTTTTCCCGAATAGGTGCGAACTGGCTGAATCCCACCACTGGGATGCTGCAATGCTGCATAAGTGTGAAAGCTGGTCATAAATCACTTTTTTCATTATAACTTTGGTCACTAAATGAGCTGTTGTAAATTGAGGACTACCTGTAGTGTTGAAAAGCACACTTTATTTTAAAGTAGAGGACTGCAAACTGCAAATACAACTTTCTCAGTGGGCTGCTTCTGTGCAAGCTGTTGTATTTCATTGTGCCAACCTGCTTCTGCTGTCTATACTGCTAGTAACTATCTAACAAAGTGTTAACAGTTTTCCACAACTCTGACACCATCAAGTCCTGCCACTGATGACGGGTTCTTTGGGCACCTAGCTTCCTGACACCTCTAAAGATTGAAGGATCAGAGGCAGCAAAGCTGCATCATCTAATAGGAGCAAGTCATTGATGGTTCTTCAGGGTTATACCAAGTGTGGCAGTATAGAAAAGCAAGACAAAAAAATAGAACTTACTTTTAAAGCTTGTTTGTTTGAGTTTTAAAATTAAAATAGGACATATACCTAATTGGGTTTTTAAAGGCTCTTTTCTTTCCCGGATCATCTGGAAACTGCTACGTTGTCTTTTTCCTACGCGGCTTTCTCTGCCTTAAAAGTTATGCAGGGATAATATTTGGGAAAACGTATAGCCACCTAGCTGAAAATTGGCAGGATTAGTGACCTCTGCTATTTTTACCCAAATTCTGATGGAAAATGAAGGTGTTGCAAACACTCTGAAACTTCTTATTGGAGTCTCGTAGAGAAGGTTTCTTACAGCTCAACTTAGTTTTTCTATGAATCTCAAATGTATTTTTATATACAGTGAGAGCTTATGCACCGGAGAAAAATTCCTTGTGTGTCCAATCACACTTGGCCAATAAATAATTCTATTCTAATCTAAAAATTGCAAACTAAGCTGGATCTATGCCTTCTTTCTCTATTGAATCTGCACTTTGATCTCAATCAGGAGCGATTCACACAGGCCCATCACACAATGTTATATTTGCGGTTAGGGGGGCACAAATGTTATTTTATTGTTTTTGCTGAGAACAAGCTATTCCAAGAACAGAGCACACCATGTAGTAAAGTAGGTCAGATTAAAATCTTGTCAACAACTCTTTCTCGCCTTTTCCCCATTCAGAAGAATTAATGTTTGCCCTTTCCGTCTGTCTGAATGTATCTCTGCTTCTTCTTGAACACCACTGTAGAATGTTCTTCTGTTCCTTTCTCTTTCTCCTGCTTTCCTGTATGACTGCAGTGATGGGGACTCTGGAGTCCAGAGGAGTGCTGAGGAAAATGAGTGATATGCTGGAGACAATGGTGAAGAGGATGGAAGTGCTAGCCAGGCTGGAGAATAGCACAGACTTCCGGAAAGGGGAAGAAGCCCATTTTCCAATGGACAGGTCAGTATCTATGGACTGAACAGTTGATCTGGCATTCTGTAGTGTTCATCCAACATCTTCTAGATTTAAGGACTGAGGTCCAATCATTCACTCTACATAGGATTGAGCTGCATGAAGGATGTATGTTTGCATGGCTCCAATTTCTTGGCACAATTAGGTGTGTAAATCATTATGTGGAGTACAGAATACAGCTATGTTCTCTTACGGCACTAATTGATTAACCAACCATGTGAATTGGGTTTACTGATTGTGAGTTCCAGTCCAGCCTTAATCATGAAATCTTGGACCAATCACACACTCTCAGCCCAACTCACCTCAACTCACCTTGTTGTTGTTGCTGCTGCTGTGGAGAAAATAGGAGGAGGAGAATAGTATGTTTACGACCTTGAGTTATTTGTAAAAATAATAAAGGGGGAATATATGTGAAACAAAAACAAATAAAGGTCTTTGGGGCTTAGTGTGATGACCTGATAAATTTAATGGTTGAGTTTTAGCTTAGCCACTGTGGTTTGAAAACCATGTTTATGTTCAGCTTGTTATGTACATGCAATTAATGAATCTCTGTTCATTGGGTGGTACAGGTGGTATATCAAAAAGAGAAGCAAATATAAGCTTATGTTTGAGGTCAAAATGCAACTTGGGATTGCAGGTATCATATCACCCATGTGTTCTTTTGCTTATCCTGGCAAGCAAGATTTCAACATGGTTAATTGTAAAATGAAGAAAGGAAAGAGAAAACAGAAGGCTCAAGGGACATTGTTAGGAGAAACAAATTACATACTATTTTCTGGTGTGTGTGTGTGTGTGTGTGTGTGTGTGTGTGTGTGTGTGTAAGACATCTATAGATTGAAAGATTTAGCAATTCTAGGGTTCATTACATATGGTTTCAGTAAAAATTTCATACTTCAACAATTTAGAAGATGTGATCCAGAATTTAGCTCTGTAGATTCTCTGATGGTATCCAGAAAAAGGAGGATATTAGAAGAACCTTGAAATGAATAATAGCTACTGTGTAAAAATATGTTTAGAGCAATGATGGGAAGTGTAATGTAGTTTGTTTTTTTTAGTAAGGGTAGTGATGACAATTAATTTGTATGATGGATTGGCTGTTCATTTTTTAAACATAGAGTTCTAATTTGATTTCAACTTGATGTGGGTCTTGAGAACATGGAAGATTAAGTTCTGATGACTGTGCAATTGTTAACAATGGAAATAACATTTTTTAAAGTTGGGCATTGTTATGGAACAAAGTTAATATTCAGAGTAATTAATACTACAATAGTTTAGCCAAAGAAATCTCCCTCTTCTCTTATTTTCTCATTTGTTACCCTCAAAGCATAATGTCTATCCAGATGATATATTTTACTTGCTTACTTAGGCTGAGCATAGTGGCTGCAATTCTGCAATTTAGTGGAGCTTAAACATCACAGAAACAAATGGGATTTTATTTGTAATGATTTTCTCCTGTTTGATTTTGGTGGAATTTAAATGCATCTCTTTTCTCATTGTGGGAAATTTAGACTTTCAGAGATATGAGAATTCATGTAGAACTGTAATTGTCCATGGGGTAGATGAATCTACCTCTGTATCTATACATAGTCCCTTCACATATTCTAACCTTTCTGTTTTTGCAGGTTTTATAACACAGGACAAAATTCAGATTAACTCCTAGCTAGTGGTATTTTAAGAGACACGGTGGCCCATTGGCTAAGATGCTGAGCTTGTCAGTCAGAAAGCTTGGCAGTTCGGTGGTTCGAATCCCTAGTGCCATGTAATCGAGTGAGCTCCCATTACTTGTGCCAGCTTCTGCCAACCTAGCAGTTCAAAAGCATGTAAAAATGCAAAGTAGAAAAATAGGAACCATTTTGGTGGGTAGGTAAAAGGGTTCCGTGCGCCTTTGGCATTTAGTCATGCCAGCCACATGACCACGGAGATGTCTTCGGACAGCATTGGCTCTTCGGCTTTGAAATAGAGATGAGCACTGCCCCTAGAGTCAGGAACAACTAGCACATATGTGCGAGGGAACCTTTACCTTTGCCTTTAATGGTACTTTATGATTTGCATCCTCCTCTTAGTCCATCTTATGAGATAACACTGTGGAGTAATACAATTCTGCCTTGAGGCATTTTGCATTCTTTTTGAGAGTTAAAATTACTGCTAAAATGAGAATTAGTTATCCTTTTCAAGAAATAATATATGATTATAAAACACAGTGCAAACCTAGATTTGGTTACTCAGAAAAAAGTCTGTGTTAAACTGGAGCTCAGTTCCTATAACTGTATATATGAGCGTAGCTGGCAGACTTCATAATATAGAGTAGTAATGCTCCCAATTGATGTATTAATCATCATCGATCCACACATGTAAATTTATCTCAGATGTTAAGCAGTTATCAATAGTATCAGAGGTGAAAACTGACATCACCTGTTTCATATTGAATATTCAACAGATATTGGAAATCAAGGATTTATGTGAACAGTAGACATCTACTGTATCAACAAACCCAAAGGACTGAAAGTAGAATTGTTGCATGCTGTGGTAATAAGCTGTTTATTGTTGACACCAGGCAGATTCCATTCCTAATGTCCTTTTTCACATTTAGTCCTTTTTCACATTTAGCTCATTGTATTTTCTCTCCAGGAATTGCCTTTCTGAGAGAGCCCTTCACTGCTTTTCCCAGATGGTCTACTAAGTCTCACAAAAGAGAGGGAGAGGAGACAATAAAAAGCAGGAGAAGCCTTAGTTTTTGGCTTCATTCCAGCTCAGTAGTCCAAGCCCGCTTTGAAGAGCAATTTCCTCTTTAATGCAGCTACGGGCTGCTTTGAAGTTAAGCTTTGATTAAGTTAAGAGCAAATAAGTGAGTGGCAATGTTGACTGCTGGGTTGCTTTAGCAATCTTTCCTCCACCTCTTCTCCCTCCACCCCAATCCTTTCTTCTAGAAACAAAACTGAAGCTTCATCCATACTTCCTTCTGATCTCAGAAAGGAAACAGATAAGCAATGAAACATATGAATAATCAATATGAAAAATCAACACCAGCTTTGGATAATCTTTTAGGGAGCTTAATAGATTGCATTGTAAGGTGCATACATCATTGAGTTTTGCAGAAAACTAATTTGTTTATCTCTACTTCCCCCCTTTAAAAAAAAGATAAGCCATCACTATACCATTCTCCCTAGCACCAAAATAAACAGCGACTTAAATTTGTTTTTAAGGGGCTGTAAGTAATGTGCCTTTAACTGATTTGAGACTGCTTCAGGGTTATTACAAGGACAGACTATTTGACCTTGATCTGAAATTAGACTTTTACAGACTTTTGCTGAGTTGCAGGCAGGGGTACAATGGAATCTTTGTCAGTATGCACAATTCTTCAAAATTTAAAGACAGACACTGAACAATGCTACAAAATTATGGGACCAAGCGTTGCTGGTGAGAAGGTAGTAAAGTTTTGTTTTGTTGCCTTTTGAGTCCTGCCTAGACTAGTCCCTGCTGTTTCCTTGGCAAGTTTTTTTGGAAGTGGTTTGCCATTGCCTCCTTCCCAGGGTTGAGAGTGACTGGCACAAGGTCATCCATCTGGCTTTGGACTTCGGGTGGGATTAGAACTCATTGTCTCCTGGTGTTCAGCCAGGAGCCTTAATCACTGCACCAAGCTGGCTCACCAGCAAGATAATGCTGTCAGTATAACTGTTAACATCACATATACAAAAATTTGTTTGTAAGAATTTATATTTCTGGTCAGCTGATGTTCATACAATGGTTTTCAAAGGCAAATAAGAAAGTTAAAATACCTGACTATATTAACACAGCAAAAGTCAAAATGGAATTTCAAGTTGGCCTAGAAAAGCAAAACAGGTTTTCAAAAAACAAAAAAGGAAAGAGATGAACCTAATTTGATCTTTGGACAGCATCAATGGTAAATCACTATGGTCCTCTTGGATGCTGCCTGGATCAAGATTCATTGGAATTGCCTCAACTGCTCTTGACATTTGTTTAATCAACATCAGCTTCTTCTCAGAGGACATTTCAGCTAGTGGCAATCCTTGGCTGGGCTTAGAAGCTAAGCAGAGTCAGGCCTGAATAATACTTGGATTGGAAACTTGCAAGGTGAATGAAAAGTTGAAAAAAAATCTGAAAAATGGTAATGTCTAATTACTTCCATACTTTTGCCAGGAAAATGTGAGAGTACATCAGGAACTAAAAAAGTGTACTGTCCTGTATCTTTGATACTTTTTTTTTTGCAGGATTGAAACACCCTTAAAAAAGTAGGACAGTTTGGTTGCCTTTTACAAAAAAAGCTTTTGTTAAATGTGATATTTATCTGTAAACTTGGAAATCTTCCCTTTCTATTTTTAAGAAAATTGCTCCTATCTGCAGGGAATGTAATACAATATACTCAATACTCAACCTGTATTGAGTATTCCATATACTTGATGCTTGGTTAGGGGTTATCCATGGTGCCAGGTTGCCCCATCCCAAGTATCCGGAGTCAACCATCTTATTTATTTATTTCAATCTTATAGCCACTCAACTCACTAAAGCAACTTTGGGCAGCTGATAAAAATAGTAGCCAGGACTCTGAGATATTCCAGATGTAAATATCACAAGCTTGGTTGTATCCATAATTTAAATTGTCTTCTTCAATTAACATTTTTTCAATAGGCTAGATTAGATTTCCCTCCACCCACAGGACAGAACTCATTGGCTGTTCTTTATGGATACTGTTTTCAAATATATCTGGGTAATGGCAAAAACTCTTCCTTTGGCGTAATTTCTTCTTATAATGAAAGCCCAGACTTTCAGGAACAGCTTCAGAATTAAGTTCCACATGGGATGATCTTAACTGTCAAATAATTGAGCCCTGCTACTTTCCTACCATGGGGGAAAAAGATTGAAAACCTATGTTAAGTCTTTCTTGGTTTAAACAGCTTTTGTGTTACATAAAGAAGAGCCAAGGTGGTGCAGTGGTTAGAGTACATGCTACTTCAGCTGACTGCTAGCTG